CACTTTCATAACGTCGGCTGGTCTAGCTCTTCGGAACCAGGTGGAACGGTTAATTTAGGAAAAAACTCTTGGCAAAATACTCCTCAGAGCTCTGGCACATTTGCCCAGTGATCCTCATTATAAAGGAACCGACTCATCCTGACAGGTTGGCTCGGACGCACATCGCACAACCAACCCTGCACAAGTTGGACCAGTAAAACTACGAATTAGTCCTGCGACATCTTACTCGTTAGGCCTTTCGCTTGCAAAGCATCACGTTCTCGATGACACGAATAACTTCTTCAAAGAGTTATGCTTCAAAACTCTGAAACGACTCATCGTCTCTAGAGCTCCGGTATTCCGCACAACCGGTCAAATTCCTTATTGGCAGTGGTTTGTGGATTGGAACAGTTTTACTACAATCAAAAATGTTTCGAATGAGCCGAGATACAGGCATTTGAAAATTCAAGGTCGAAAAGCGCAAGAACTTTGTTCACGACCTAATAGCTACCGATATGGGCTCTTTTGCTAGCTATTGCAGTGCCGTTTGCATTCATTGAAACTTGGTTTTGCTCACCGAAAGCAAGAGCAAATCCATTTGGTCGGCTGTTATCTCCAACCTTATTTAGAAACTCCATCTGGACTGCACCAATTTTCTCTTCGAGGTAATCGATAGTTCTTGTGAGCGACCTGAATGAGCAATGCACTAGAAATCATGATATGTTCTTCAAAAGCTAAACAAACCTTTTAGCCATGAAAGTAGATACAGAATCCAGTATGATAATGTAAACGTCGTGTTTGGAATGTTTTTTCGCGTCTCTGCAGTGAAGCACAATACAGCTTCGAAGCTTGGTGAATTAATCACTGAACTCTGATCGATAGGATCGGCCCCAGAGCTCTCCATGAAAGCCCCAGCGTAGGAGAATAAACGAAGTAAAATCACAAATCATGTCGTGGTGACAAAAGCGATAATGACAGCTTACAAAATACCTCTGACGTTCTATCGACGTGGACCTGGTTGTCCCACAAGACAAAGGAGGTGAAATTACTGAGACAGTGCAATTCTGAACCTGATTGATGATGCTTCCTTTCCTACAGTTTGGCAAGGAGTCGGGGAAAGCGCAGGCCTTCGAGGCAAAATGCAAGCCTTACAGAGGTGAAGGGTTCAAATAACATACTCGGCAGCAAGAAGATGTTGTGAAGATTACTGATCAGTTTTTAAAATGCCTAAAGATAGAGAAGAGTTTCTTTCTGTGATCCATTCTAGCGGAGTTTCGCTGTTAATTGAATCGACAAGAAAAAATAAGTGATTGTAAGGATATTCATCACAGTAGCAAGAAGGCTGCTTCCGGGTGAGCATTTGTCGTTTACCGGAGGTTTTCTCGCTTTTACAGAAGTGAAGAGCTCATATAACCGCAGGCATTATCCACATTTCGTGTAATGCAAGGCTGCAAAATCATATGAAAAGGGAAGAGCAGTAACATCTCCCAGTAGCTGCAAAGCCTATGGAGAGGATCAGTTGTACCCGTCGAAGTTTGCTCAAAGGCAATTGCAAATGATCGGAGCTCAACGCACACACGAAACAATCCCTAGGGAAAAACTATTTTTCAACCCCACTCCCTTTCTTTTCGACAAATGAAGGAATAAAGCAAATCAGGAAAGGATAGGGCATTCGACGTTGATCAAATATTACCTTTCTTGAATTTACCACGGACTCTACTCCCGTTCACATCGCACGTATTTTGACAGCAACGAACTGCCACCCTCCTCTTCTAAAATTTCAGAGGAGGTCGAACAAGCATTTTTCAAGAGGAGCTTACCTTTGTTCATAAATTTGTGTATGTAAGAAGTTTTCATAGACACCGTCTTTCACACACTGCGTCTCGATAATATCACACTCAAAGATTTTTGGTGATGGTACTGCAAGCCAAGAGGTTGCATTGTATGTTCTGTCTTTCTTGCCCGGAAATAGACATCTAAATGGGAAAAACTGAAATCTTCCATTGAGGCCTTTCATGAGTAGATATCCTAGCAGTAGCTCCAACTTGGTCCTCAATTATGGTGCAGTCTCGTTTGCAGTTCCAAACGTGCGTATTATACAAGCATAATGCGTGCTGAATCTCAATCGTCTAGTGAGTCTTCATGAGCCTTCAATCAAGCTTTCAGCTTCTATATTTTAGCAGAAGAATCGAAACGATAAGTGCACGCCTACGGCTTCATGAGTAAGAGTAATGCAAGCTCATTGTAAGGGACAACCTGGCAGTGCAGTTGTGCTTCTTGCTGATACCGCTTAGTTCAACGTGTCCTTTGACCAGTTTGGTGATAGGCCTGTATATCCTACAGCCCTGAAAAAAGGCAAGTTTCCCTCTAATATGCCACTGCTAAACTAAAAGTGCACACAATAGGCAAACGAGTGTCTTGACTTCATTTTAACACCTACATTGTTGAACTTTGATAACCTGTAGCCGGAGCTCCGCATCATGACACTCCAAACAAGCACTCAACTTCAAAATAGCATTCCACAGGGACAAGGAAAGTTCTACTGAGCGGACAAAACGTGACATTTCAGCGCAGCAATTTCTTGTCTTTCACACACACACACCCCTAAGCTTCGGAACACTCAG